AAAATCATAAGAAGACAAAAGAAATTGGATAAGACAAAGACGACGAAGACTCATGTTTACGTATATTAGATCTATTGCACGGGTCGCTTGGTTAAAGCATTTTCATAGTGCCATATAAAATCTACTTTCTCACATACATTGTAGAAAAATTCATTTAAAGAGATAAATGTTGTCCAAGAAAAATTGTATGTTAATAATGAATCAAGCGTTCTCTCCTATAGTTAACAAGGAAATGTCACAAACAAGGAAATGTCACAAACCTTAAAAATTTTAAAAAGATTGGGTACTGTCACAAACATACTTTATATTTTTTTGGGAATATTTTAAGCGTTTCTGGGAATTAAAATATTGTTTCTCTGGAAAAGTTTTACTTCATCTCAAATCCGTTGTAAGAGCAAGGTTATGTTCACTTCTTAGAAGAGTTAACCAAAATAATTATTTGATATTTTTCCTGACTCGATATGGTTCTTTAGGATTGGTTGAGCGAATCATCTGTTGGTTGGTGTGGAGGATGTGAGGTTTTTTTTTTCTTCGTCGTGTTTCGAAGGGCTACAAAAGGAATTGGGTTTGTTTGGTTAATTGAGCATGTTGTCAATAACAGAAAAGTGAGCTTTAAGATTGACAAGTTTTGTTAAAACTTATATGAGCCTCCGCTTCTTTTACTTACCCATACGGTATGGAGACCCACCCGTTTCCCAGATTGAATGTTGCGAATACTGTCATCGAAGAACAACTGAAAACAACTGAGATATTTAGGACTTGGTAAGCTTAAGTGATTAGGTAGAAGAAGAATAAAAAACAGTAAAAGCTTTGATGTGAATCTTACTGTCTTGTGAGGATTGATGTTTGCCATCTTGAAAACCTGTTCAAATGATCCTTCAGATGGTTTGCATATAACCGGAGTCTTGGGGAGTTCGACACTCGGGTAAAGATTTGCAATGTAACTGCTAATGTCGAAGATTTCTCTGGTTTCAGTACCAACATGAGATTCAGTTTTGGTGTGGGGGTTCAGAGTCTCAAAAGATCATAAAAGGAATTATGAATGATCTTTCAATAAATAATCGTATTAATGACACTATCCGAAGAAAAGAAGTTGAATGAAGATGTAAAAGGTTACAACGGAGAACAACCTTTTTTTATCAGAGATTATTGATTGAGCATAGATATGTGGCTGTGGATACGAGAAATTAGATTTATATTTGGTTTTTAAAGCTACGGATAAGTGAAATTAATAAGGGTTTGTTGACTTGGATCACAAATAAATATCTTTCTGCGGCTCTGTCTCTAATAGATTTGTTGCATATTACGAAAATAAAAAACCTAATAAATTATAATTACGTTACTTTTTTAAATAATCATATAATGCTTAGGGGATTTTTATGGGTTTAGTAGGGCCCAAAAATGGCTATTACGGTAGTATTCTCTACACTCTTCTACTAGAGATAGAGATAAGAGAATCATTACACTTATGATGGGTACATCTTCACCACCTTCTTTTTGGCTTAACCAT